ATAATCAAATTATTTGTGTATTAACTACACGAAAAGGCCATTTCATCAACTAATTTAACGCTTTCATTGGCAAATGAGACGCCCACACAAGTAAATACCAGTAGCTACTGTGGATAGCAACAACAACAATTTACGCGTGACTTTAGCGTAATTTATTTTGTAGACTCATTACAAGAATATAGAAAAAAAAACAACAACACAGAAAAGGCGTATAAATGAACAAAGGCAACAAAAGCTACAGCAGAAATAATAATAATAAAGCCGAAATAAAAGCGAAACGAATGTGGCAAAATGGGCAATCCTTTTACTCGTAGGTAGTTGATTGTTTGAGTGGAAAGTGCGTTTGGGAATTTGGGTGTGTAGCAGTGGGCGCGGTTGAACCCTTTCGTGGTGAAGTGATTGTCTAGGCAAGAATATGCCGAAACGCTTAATTAATGATAGGCCATAAGATTGGGTAATGATATTAAAGGAAGGGAAAACGGTAGCTAAAATTATGGGGTTACTTAACTGTGCTTCATTGTAGGTAGATTTTTAACGGCTCACCAAATAGAGTAATAAATAGATCGGTAATTTAAGTTTGCACAAAATAATGATTTGCATTATCGCAATCGGGGCGAAAATTTACCAAGATTGTTAATACCAACACCTTTACTTACATTTGTCTTCGCAGAGGCATAAAGTAACATAAGAACAATTTCAATATTAAAGATCTATTTGAATACCAAAGTTAAGCTTGCTGACATATTCTTAACGTAAAGGAACAACTTGTAAAGGATTCGGCGGTATGCCCTCATTGAAACGTGAGAATCTTGTCATCCATCCTCAGCGACGCGGAGTTTGAACGCAGCCCAGAGCTCAAAGACAACTTGGTTTCGGTTATTTGAAAATTTTGTATACTATTTGAGCAGCTTTTCGCAAACTGGATTATGCTACTGCACTACTTCTCGAGGAGCAGCAAGTGCTAAAATTTATCTAATCTAGAATCTAGATTATTGTGGGCTCCAGGTTAGGAGTGATTTGATGACAATGAAAGGGCTGATAGACCAATTAAAGCATACCGCCAAATCCGCCTTTCTAATTATAAATATAAATACTAAAATGATCGATAGATTGGCAGGTGAGAGACGGGTTTCTTAGCATACATCCCTTGCTTGAAAATTAATATGTCTATCTTCCAGGAAGGCTAAACATTTCAGAATCTCACACGAAAAGTTAAAACCTCCTTGGAGAACAAAGAGGTGGATATAGGTAGTTTCCTTGACATAGCGGGTTGGCTTCGATAACACGGAACACTTTATAATAGATATTATACAAAGGAGTAGACGTTACCACAATCCGGTAGATAGTAAGCGTCCTTGAATCCCGCAACATAACTTCGACTCTGGGATAGAGAAGAGTACGTTACTCGGTATTAAAACGATGCCCGCATAGGGAGTGCTTTCCCATACATGATGGTGTATTGTAATGGATGAGCTAGTCTGCCTCTTTAATATCAAGCACGCGATGTTCAAATGACATTGTCATCATGATCAAGGGTAAGTCTGAAGATATCATCTCGAGTCTTTTGCAGAGTACGCTGAAAATAGTCGCCAAATGGTGTAGTCAAAACGAGTTGGAAGTTGGCCCTAAGAAGAATGACATAGTTACTTACCCCTCGAAAAGGAAAAGTACTAATACGTTGGAGCAAATTCCTCAAGGAGAAAAGAGCTATGTGCCCAAGTCAAATATACGCGAGTTGTCTTTGAAGCTATATGGGATTGACTCTATTTAGATAAAGCTGTTCCAAGAAACTCCACTGGGAATGACAACCACCTTTTGTACGGGGATTCCTCTTAGTCTGACCATGGAATTGGGCTTCAGTCTATGGTTTACAACCAGGAAGACTCTTCTTTACTACATAGAATGGAGCAAGTTAACTCTGCATTTCAAGCTGAGTTTCATGCCTGTGAGAGTGGAGCAACCAACTGGCTAATGTCAACGCTAATATGGGATCGCCTTTAGGTCTTAACACTCATTGCAACCAGGAACAGGGTTAGCCTTATTTGCCTTGTTTAGGTACCGAGATAGTTATGACCTAGACAAAAAAAAACCAAAAATATCAAACGCCGAATATTGACCACGACTTGAATTGCCTTAAGGCTCGCGAGAACTGCAACGTATACACTTAATATGTCACGCAATAAATCTCGGCTTTTTTCATCGAATATCGACTATTCATTTTGCTTTTGTTTAAATAGATAAATAATAATAATTTATTATTTTCAAGCATGATATCCCTTTCAATAGTTCCAAAAACCTATGAAGCTATTGAGCTATTTGATTTAATATTGATTTTCACACATCTACGCGGTAATTAATCGCGCGTGTCTGGGCTCAATCAACAAACAGGCATAGCGAAAAAAAAAGTAGACAACCCCCCCGTAGAAGCCAAGCACACACGAGACCAACCGCCAGAGAGGCCAATGTCAAAGCACAACTGTTTGTCCAGCTGGTTGACTCGATGCTATTAGCGCCGACAAGGATAACAACAACAACAACACAACACTTCCCCATACCGACTAACTCATTTGCTTGCAATTTTTTGTGCTTCCTTCGGTGTTCACACGCCTGACACCCTCCTTCGAGTTTCCACACATTGAGTGTTATGTACATTTTTACAAACATATAGACATAGTTACATAGAGCATTGCTATTGACCTAACCTAAAAGCAAACAATGAAAGCACCCTCTTCAATCGCCCCACAGTCGTTCAGTCGACAGACAATAATAACAACAAGAAGGCAGCGAAAAAATCACAACTACAGTGAAACGAACATCAATGACTGTTTTTGTATGTAAGTATGTACGTATATATATACAAGTACATAAGTATTTCTGTAATGCAAGCGTCTGTGCAGTATGTTTATTTGATTCCCGGAATAATGTCTGTCTGTCTGTTGCTACGACTGTTACAAATTGGCCTAATTTGACTTTTGTAACGTCGTCATTTTTGGTGTTTTGATATGCGAAGCATACCAACAGGCGCCCGAACATGTAGTCACAACGCAGCGGACAAACACGCTTGCACCCACGCACACACACACACACACACACTCCCACGAGCACATTTTCAATGCCAGCCATTTTCCACAGCTTTTCTAGTTGGTTGGTAAATCCGATGGAGGATTGGTTGGATTTCGCATCCTCATCATCACATGATTATCGCATTTGATTTAGTATTGAAGGCCAGTGAAGCACTCAAATACATGCACATACATACAAACAATTGTGTGTCTGTATTTTCTGCCACATTCCCATTATTCACTAGTGTTAGTACTAAAGGATAAAAACATGCCTGTGAGCCTGTCAGCCAGCCGGCGAACGTTAGTGTTTGAACAAATAAATGCTTTGACAGATAAAGCTGTCAAAATAACGTTTATCGTTTTGACTTGGTAAAGCATGAGCGGAAAGAAATTGCCGTGAATGTGTGAGTGCTTCAAAACGAAGAACAAGAAGAAGAAGAAGAGTACCAAAAAGTAGGCAATTTTCTAGCAGAGAGAAAAACAATAGCGAAGCCATAAGCGAAGACAAATTAAGTGTGCAAAGAGAAATTGAGTTGACTATTTTTCTGACACAATCACGTGACTTGTGACAGCTCTATCGATATGGAAGGTGACAGCTGTCGCTTTTGTTGGCACAACTAATATTGGGTAAGTAGTGTGTTGGGAAATTTTCCTATTTATTTAAGTTGAGCTCTAAAGGCTAACTAAAAACAAAAATACCAAAAAAACAAGTAAGAAAGTCTAAGTTCGGGCGGAGCCGAACGTTAAATACCCGGCGCACGTATTAAATATATGTTTTTCACCTTTCCGAAAGCTACCGCTAGATGGTAAGCCGGGGTGTATCAATTTTGAGTAAATTAGCGTCCTTAAATTTCGAATTATTGAAGTTTCAAGCATTTCTGAAATTTACCGTTATATGAAAAGCGGCCGTAATTTTAATCCCATTCCAATAATTTTCAACGTTTTTCTTTTATGTGGCAAGGACAATAAAAAATACCGAGTTTGGTACAAATTGGTAGAACGGTTACCGATATACATATATGTGATCATAAGTGGGCGNGAAATTGGTGCAGCGGTTACCAAGATATTCACATGTAACCATAAGTGGGCGTGGCTACACCCATTTTCCAAAAATTTATAATACTTTTATTTTTCGTCTAGAAGTTATTGTAAATATAAATTTTGAGTGAATTATCTTCAGTAGTTACCGTTATACAGGAAGTGGGCGTGGTTACAGTCCGATTTCGCCCATTTTCAATACCAACCTACCTTGGATTAAGGGAAACCTACATACCAAATTTCGTTGAGATATCTCAATTTTTGCTCGAGTTATCGTGTACACGGACGGACGGACAGACGGACAGACGGACGGACAGACAGACATGGCTTAATCGATTTCTTTTTTCATCCTGATCATTTATGTATACATTTGTCTATATCTATCTCGATTCGTTTTGGCTGTTACAAACAACCGTTATGTGAACAAAATTAATATACCCTTGTGCACAAGTGCGCTCGGGTATAATAACGAAGAAAAACGTTTCAATTTTTTCAATGTAGAAAATACACTCCACCTTCATTATATTTTCTTTCGGACCATGTACTAACGGCTAAGCTTTAAGTTGTGTGAAATCCGTAGTGAGACACTTAAATCATTGACCAATTCTAAAATATTTCACCTAAATCTACAACAATGACAAAACCCGCCAACTCGGAGGAAAATTATGCTTTGGGTATGAATTTAGGTTAGGTTGAAGTGGTTATAGACCAAGAATGATAGAATAAAGAGATTGCGCTTTGCGCAGGTCCGTTACTCTTGTTTACAAATCAGCTGTTCGAGTGTTGACGTCATAATATAAAATTTTTGGTGAGAAGAGTATTGGTTTGCGAGGGAAACGTATTGGTTTGCGAGGAAAACGTATTGATTTGTGATATTTTTGTTTAAGTTATAAAATAAAAACGTTGTAAAATGAAGTGCGCAGTTGCGAAATGTGGAAAAACGGCGGCAGAGTGCAGTTTGTTTACTTTTCCTTCAGATCCAGAACTTAGGAAAAAGTGGATCCAGTTCTGCCGGCAAAGCAAGGATTTCCAATTTAAAACTTGCTATATTTGCATGCATCACTTTGCAAGTGAAGATTTTGAAAATAGTCTGCAGTTTGAAATGGGTAGGATGTTTATTTATTTCGTTTATTGTGTTTATATTAATGAAAGTGTTTAAAACATTTCTAAGGTTATGCAAAAAGAAGATTGTTGAAACGAGGCTCCGTGCCATCAATTTACAAGCCCGGTGATGAAAACCCGGAGCGTTCGCAAAGAGTTCATCGTCGTCAAAATACGTCGTTAATATTGGGTTTCATTGGAACGATATCCTTATTTGATGCTGTGGGCAGGCGTCACAGTTTCAGGTAAAATTTCTTGCTTATGCCTTGGCAGTTTAATTTTATGTTGGCACCGTTTGCATTGTATTTCCTGAAATAAGTACGCATTGGAAGTTAGTAAAAAGTAATGTATTGTCGCAGATGCTACTTACCATGCTATGAGCACGCCCTTGCTCAACGAATTGGCCCTTTTACGCTGTTTCCTGGTTAGCGCTCTTCGATTCTCTGTAGTCTTTCTGGCATCGTATAGCTTCTATATTTGTTTCCAAGCCTTGGAGCTATGCACTATTTGCTGTGGCTTCAATTTCATTTGGAAATCTTACTCGTTCCATTTGCCAGCGCAACGGCGGCCATAGAATGCAATTTTTATTTGAACGCCCTACTCACTACCTGAAATAAAATAATAATATAAATAATGTAAAAGAAACACAAAATAAATTTACCGTCTTCTCGATTCAATAAATTGCCACCAGATTGTTTTATTTTAGTCTTTCAACTAAATTTTATGCTATATTTACTTTTTTTCGTCGAAATTGTATGCGATTTGACAGATCGCCAACAACAACTTTTATATTATGACGTAGATGCGCAGAACGAAAAATTTTTGCACCCCTATCGGCGCAATCTTTGTATTCTATCATTCTTGGTTATAGACTACGTAGATTCTCCCCACTCTATTGTGAGCGATCCCTTTTGATGTTACAGAAGCCCACTCCGGCATAAGCACTTTTTGACGCTATAAGCTTTGCAAACGCAATCTTGACATGGATTTCAGTGGTTGGGGAGTCGAAGAAATGTCTCAAGTTTTAGTCCATGTGAGAACACTCCGTCTCTCGTTTCAACTTTGGATCCGTCTCTATAGAAGTGTAGGGCATTTGGTACATTTTGAACCAGTCCTGTTACGTTCGTATCATAACATCACATTTCTTATCAAAATTAATTGAGCGTATACAAAAGCTGGAACTTATGCGTATCGAGGTTGGCGTACGAAGGATAGCCGAATTATTTGTAATTCCCTCGGTACTGAGCGTGGTTTGCTTCATGATCTTGGGGCACTATACTACTTTAGCGTGATTTAAATGACTAAATGACCCTTAAATTCGATTAAATGTGTGAGCTCACACATTATCTTGAAGAAAAACCATTTGTCGTTTGCCATTGTTTTTCCTAAATTCGTCCAAAACTGTTGCCAAAATAATTATAGTGTACCACTCAAAATTAACCGTTCGAGGTGCATCTAACGCCACTATGGCCACATGACCCGTTATTAAAAAGAAACAAACCAATAGTGGACGACCTTATCGATGTTCATCTGCGACCGAAGTACGACCACGCTTGAATGCATTAAACCAATTATGCACACTGGGCCGTGATGAGCGATATTTCACTACCGGTGATTTTATCACTGTTATTTAAAAATCGCTATCACTCTTTTCACTGATACTGAAAAATCGCTATTTCGCGTATCACTAGTCCAAAATGATGTAGTCAATTATTGTGTTAAAAAGTAAACACACGTTTTTTTCTGGATGCATATAATCATTTAGGCACATACATATAAGTAAGTAAATAAACATTCTTTAGATGCGGTGGGTGCCCATGTTGAGAAACCTTTCCATTACTTCTTCTGGCTTTACTTCAATGTCGTAATTTATATTGAGGACGGGCCAACCCGTTCAATCTTTCCTGGATCTTCGCTGTTCTGAGTTAAGTTTTGATGCGACGCAAAGAAGAGAAAGACCTTTCAGCGCTAGCATTCGTGGCTGGAAATATGCCAAGTATACGAATTAAGTATTAATATTTAGTTGGAAATATATCTTTATGACAATATGTGAGTGTTTCGGTTGCAGATGCCATTTGAGTACGGGATTCAATTTTCAGTTTCCCTTGCTGTCTAAACGTGAATTTTCCTAGGCTAAATTTTTATTGTTGTTCATTCCATGCCAATACCCCACGAAAACGTTCTATGCGGCAGTTAATAAAATCGATGTCGTCTTTCAGGACGTCTTTGAAATACCGTTTCTTTAAATTTTCTGTGGTCACTTCGATTTCTGGTATGTATGCAGAAACTTTATAGTATCTACTCTTCACAGCTTTGAGATCGATTATTGTTTCGATGAATTTAGCGACCCTATGTTCTGTGTTGTCTAACTTTTCAGCTAATTGGGTGGCTGAGGCAGAAATCAAGCACCAATAACAACTTCAAAATTACATAGGATGTCCACCCAGATCTGACGCTTTTGTGGCAGACGTTCTACATTTCCATTCACATATTTTTATCAGTGATTGTACGATTTCTGCGGAATCGGAAAATACTGGGAAAATAAAACGAATAGGCAGGCATGATTGCCAAAAAGGTACATCAAAAAGACTAATAGGTCCCGAGCCCTTGTTTGCAATAGGATTACACATCATCAGTTGCTGAAACGTCCGGTAGGCTATCCAAGGGTACCACATATTGACTGAGGAATAAGATATTATGACAACAAATATAATATGAAGACGGGAAGCCTAAAGTTGATGAAACAACTTATGTATGAAACTGGGCCATTCTCAATTAGTAGATGAATCCAAATCCGATGTCTAAATTCAAAATATTCCTCCCAACTAATGTATTCATTAGCCATCAATCAGCAATCATATTGAAATTCACACAAATGAGTCATAAAAAATTAAATAATTTCTCAAAAGCCATCAGCGCCGACAAACGAATTTAAGTTTATTTCACTCTTAATTATTTTTGTATGTTTTCATTTTGCTTGAGAAAAAAATATTTACGCGCATTCGCATCCAAAACTGACAGTTGAAATTAAAAAACAATTAGTTATTTCGGGCGGAAACAAAGAGAGAAAAAGACTAAGAAAAATGAATGCTTAAAAAATACAAAGAAATATGCCAAACGTAAAATAAAATTGGTCATTAACATTTTCTTAGTTCGCTGTTGCCGGCAGCAAATGATGTTCATAAATTTGGCAGATGGAAGCTATGGAGCGAGATAGGACGCATGGGGCGTGTGCTGAAATGTCAAAATAATGTTGCAACAAACACAAAACAAAAAATATGTACGAAAAAAAACATGTAGCAACACACAAAGTACTACTAAATGACTTGGGCGTACAAAAGTGTTGCACATGGGAATTTTATTTTCCCATCCAACCGTGACTGGTGGTCTTACGTAACAAGGCGCGCGCTATACAAATTTAGAAAATTTCGAAAATCTCAACATCCAATCTGTCATTAGAAATACATATCATAAATCAACGAAACTACAATGGAATGCAACGCTGCCGGCGAAGAACGGCGGTGCAGCAATTCGAGCGTAAAGAGTAGAGCAAACAAATGCGATGATGAACTGATTTGCAGCACTATCATTTACCATGAGCCACATCTGTTTCTGGGCGCTTGCCACACATGGGTCACCATGCCACTGGCTTAACTAGTTATTCAAGTTTGCACTTCGCTATGGTAGGGAATTTTTCGCTCTCCCGCAAACTAATCACTTGACACTTGGTAGGGCGCTGTGGCGCCAGTGAGACTTGATGCCGGGATTTTTTTTTTTCATATTTTCTTTAGTTTTGTTTATTTTTGTTACTATTTTCTGCTTGCTGTTTTTAATTGCATTATTTTTCAATGTAGCTTATGATTGTTTGTGTTTTGGTATTGCTTTTAATAAAAAATGAAGTTCTGTCAGTTGAGCAAATGAGCGCTTATAGGTCTCATATGTCTTAGCTGTCATTATGCCGGCTGGAAAACTACAGTGGCACTCAAATAATTACAAGAGGAGTAATAATCTTTAACATCAAGTAAGAAGACCAATATCACATTGAGCGTCCGTGAGACCTCACAGTAAGCCTATCGGATGCATAGAACCTTTGTATGATAAGCCTAGGTTGCTGCGGTTGCTCCACAGTGTGGCACACTTAGACCTACGGTACGCTCTGATACCGCATGGGGAGAATATATACCCGATACCCGATATTCTGTATGCTGTATACCCGAAAGACCAAAGCTGAAGGAAGTCTCGAGCGCGTCGAGAAGCTAAAAGCCTTAGCGGCAATCAACAAAATTTTCTGCCTCTGTGTGCCAGGCCACAAGGGCACATAAAGGTAAAATGGAGCAGACATGCTTGCCAGGAAGGCGGCAGCAACAACATAAAGAAGAGCTAGTGGAGAAGAAATAACTAGCAGAGAACAGCACTGGATCCAAGCATAAGGCTGAGACAGACAAAGAAGCTACCGTGGGGATACAGTATTAAAAGATATGACAAACTCAATATTCCCCCAAAAAAATATTTAAACTAAGAGTTCTAACAGTTTTCTTAACATTTCATTGCAGATTAAGAGCGCACCTCTCATAGCAGTCGGTGCTCGCTTAATAGCTTTAAGTCATGGAGGTTCTCAGTTTCCATACTGGCGCCGACTAGTTCTGGATCTCTTGAAAGGTTAAAGCCTGCGAGTTGTTCGAGTGGCATTTTGCGGCTCATCACCCAAATTCTCTTCTCGTCCTTCAGTTGCTTCAGTGAATAGAGTTGTTGGTGGAGAATCGCCTAAATATCTCAAACCTATAGATTTCAAGTACAATCCTATGCAATTTCCAGTCCTGGTCTAAGCAACTTCTACCAGAAGAGCGTCTAGACCTTTCCCATTTGAGAGACTACCATTGCGAAACATCAGAGGACAAAAGCTCTCAATCGTAGTTGTACACCCGTGGTGAGCATACCGACCAGCTTGACGGGTGCCGCCGGGAGACTTTCGTGCAGTCTTCTACAGTAATAGTTTTTTTCTTATTCGATTCGTCTATAGAGAATTGTATTCGTGGTGCCCAAAGATTTCACTATTCTCCTCATCCAAGTCCAGTCGGCGGGTAGTAAACGCAAGTAGGAATAAGACTTGCAAATGATTCGTTTAACCCCTGCCTAAATCTAAAAAAAATATTTCCAATTTCAAATTATTTTTCCCATCCTCCAATGAAATTAACAGTGCGGCGCACAGTTCCACTGCCCTCATTCTTTTTATAAGTTATAAGTTTTCAAACAAAATTATTCATATACCATTCAACACTTCATAAAGAGCTTTGAAAGAGTTTTCGAAACGCATTACAAAAACCACAAATCGCATGCACAAATGTGGCAACAACAAAGCAAACAAACGACCCATCAACCAGACGACCGGCTGCCCGATCAAATAACCGCGTCTGCCAGCTTGCCTAAGGGGACAGTAGCACACCCACTTGGAGTTAAATGAGAACATAAGTTAATTATACACATACATACATTGGGGTTAAAAAGGAACAAGTGTGCGTATGTGTAAAGCATTGTTGTGCTATGATATGCAGTGATTGATTGAAGCATTTGGAATTCCCAGC